TACCTCTTTACTCGGGATTTCCAAGTGGGTTTCTGACTCTTCGGTTCCTTTGCTTTCTATGCCCGGTGGTCTTATCGGCGTTTACTAATTTCCTCTCCAAGTTTCTATTGGTCATTGGTAAATTGCATTTTTGATTGGACGTAATTGTCGATCCTTAATAATTTACTTTTAATAGAGATGCGAAAAGGCTATTAACTGGTTTTTTATTATAAAAACACAAGCCGGTAGAGCTGTTTTGCATTTTCACTTTCAAACTAAAGAAAAAAAATTCTAGAATAGTAAATTTAAATTTATTGTTATCAGACATTATTCATCTTAGTTTGATGCTGGTAATTTTTTTTTCGTTATTTGGTACTGTACATTTTATGCTAAATCCGTGTTGCATTAGTATGAATGGATATGGGCTTAGTGCTGAGAAAAGGGACGAAATTGATAAAAAAAAATTCTTCATAAATAATCATTATCTCGCGAAATATAGATCAGAATCACTTTAATATTTCGCAAGATAATTAATTATTCATGAAGGATTTTTTTTTGTCAACTTCATCCCAAGCTTAGTGAGGGATAAACAAAGTTCTGTGATTGTTTCGAGCAGTAATGTAAAGAATGAATCGCAAATTATTACATTGTTGTATGCGCATTTATATTCAGGAATTGAGTTATAATTAGTTTAATTTGTTACTGATTAAATAAAAGAATTAATTTAAAATTTTTACACTTTATTAAATTTTTTAAATGCTTATTACTTAATACATATATGCCATAAAAATACAGTAGTCAAGTAGCTTAATATAATTTTTTTCAATAGTATCAAATAATATGAATAATTTCAGTATTCACCTACGTATGTATAAGCATTAAAGAAAGCTGTTTAATAAAAAAAAAAAACTTAATTAGTCACTGCATATATACCCAAAATAGATTACGTACGTAGTAAATTTATACATATGAGTGCCGGCAAGGGAAAACCTCGAACCGGAATAATAGTTTATTATCTCAGGTTCGAGGTTTTCTCTTGCCGGCACTCATATGCAAATTCGATCGATTTCCTGAATCTGTAATTTGATTTTCAAGATACACTATTGTTACACTATATGCATTTCATGCCTCTACTAAAAGTTCTTGATCATAATACCTGCAGTTGTATGCACGCGACATAATGTAGATTTTGTAGGTTAGGCGAATAGTGCGAATAGTGAAAATATGGTGGCGAAGGTTTAACTGACATAATGAAAAGAAAAAACCAATAATTAAAATTTTGTCTATGTGCAAAGTTAGTAATAATAACTTAATAGATGTAATAGACTAGAGTAGGCTACAATCAAATAATATATTTAAGGGCGGGTTTTTCGTTCGAGTTGTAAAGTAAAATCTTCAGATTCTTCCTATTTTTAATAATAAATTACTATTTGTATTGCGTTTTTTTAAAACATTCAATAAATAAAATATAAAACGATACTTCTCTTTATTCCAATCGTCTCCATTAATTTTTGCATTTGATCGTGATCACCAACTTGATATAACATTCTTCTCTTGTCCTCGTTCAAGAAAATTAACCTAAAATTCGTAAATCTATCGTGAATATTATCATTTGTTAAAGCTATTTTATTTATTTTATTTTATTTATTTTAACCACGTACCTGTTAATATGACATTACCATTAAGTATCAACGCAATTTTTGATATTGAAGAAGAAGATATGGATATTAGTGATGGCAGTGATAATGAATTTGATGATGTGCTTGACAGAATGCTTGATGCAACGAATGGTGCTGGCCAAATTTGGGAGACAGTAGACGACGATAATATAACAGAAGAAGGAACATCGGGAACAGAAAGATCTAAAACTTATAATCTTCACGTTGAAGAATATGTAGAATGGATTGAAGGTCTTGAGAAATCAGGACTTAGTTATATTAAACATGACTGTCAGGCACAAATTGGCACAAGAAAAAAAAATCAATGGTCAGAGAGATGGTATTGCCATCGGTATGGCACCTATGAAAGTACTGCTGGGAAAGATACCATGAAAAAGCCACGATTAGTGCAAAAGGAAACAAAAAAATGTGGTTGTAAAAGTTATATCACTGTTACACTTCCTATAGGTTCAATAATGGTAGTTTTGCACCATTATTATAAACATATCAACCACTATCCCGGTCAAATGTCGGATTTATGTACCCTCCTTCTCTCTGAAAATATTAGACAGTTTATCCGTCAACGCGCTCTTGAAGGACTTGATGCTTTTAGTATTCAACAGCTCTTGCGCTTTCGAGCTATTGAGCTTCAGGATCAAATTCAGTCATTAGAGACGGGTCAACATAGTGAATCTTCTCAACATATTCAGCAACTACGAGATGGGTTAGTAACAAAAGAAGATATTTATGCAATTGTGCGCGATGCAATGAAAACATGTATTTACCTTGATGAAGATGAAATAAAGTCTTTAGATAAATGGAAAGCTAAAATAATTAGCACAGGTGGATGTTGCTTATTTGAACATGGCAATGAGCCAAATTCTAATTTAGTTGATACAGGGTTTCTTTTTGCTTTTCAGACAAAAAATCAAAAGGAATCTATGTGACATGCCAGAGTTATATGCCTAGATGGTACTCACGGAATGAATAAATATGGCTATCACCTTTTCACACTTATTATACGGCATCCTTCGGCGGGAAGTGGATATCCAATTGCGTTTCTAATTAGCAAATATAAAAAATCATTAACATTAATGAAATGGTTGGACTTCTTAAAAAAAGAACATCATGAATGGAGTCCGGATATTTTTATGGTCGACGACGCAAGTGAAGAAATAAAAGCCATTAAAGAAAAATTCCCCAATAGTACGGTATTATTGTGTCATTTTTACGTATTAAGGTAAAATGCCTGTTTTTTTTTTTTTAAAAAAAAAAAATCGTTTAGCATTATTTTTTTTATCTTTTTTTTTTTTTTTCTTATTATTATTATATTATATTATTTTTTTCTTTTTTCTTTCGCTGGTAAACTTTAAAAAAATTCGCCATATCGAATGGCATGATTCGAATTCCATTTAAAATTATCACGATTTCGTGGACATGCGTGTCTGCGACAGTGTTGAATGGCAGTTTGAGTGGAATTCGAATCGTGCCATTCAACATGGTGAATTTTTTAAATTTTACAAGTTTTTATTACACTTGGCTCTCATTAATCAACTTCGTTAATATCAACCTAAACTATAAAAACAAATTTTTATATATTAAATTGCCTTACATATATCATCTTTAATATGATCCTTCGTCAATATCACTATCAAACATGGATTTAAACCAATTCAAATGGGTTGATATTAACGAGGGTCAAGTGTATTATTATTATTATTATTATTATTATTTCTTTTTAATATATACAATTATATTAAAAATGTAACCTTGTTCCATGTTAGGTCTTGGCGCAGAAAGCTAAATTACCATTCTGGTACTAATGTCGACAAATACAAGGCAATAGTTTGGAAAGATCTCTGGCAATTGATGAAAACCGAAGGGTGGGATGATGCAAAAGCGAAAAAATAAGTCACGGAGGCAATTGACAAGTGGTGAAAATTCGATAACGGAACAGTAAGCACCTTTGCTGACTACTTTGAGTGTTGGTGGAAACCAAAATATGATAAGTGGATGGTATGTCTAAGAGGGATTTCCAGAGACATGATAAATACAAATAATTTAATTGAAGCATTTCATCGCAAGTTAAAATATACTTATATGAGGGGACGACCAGGACGAAGACTCGATAGTGAAGTATATCTTCTTATTGAAGTTGTACTTCGAGACCTGGAATTTTCGGCCTTCTTGGATGAATTAAGAGTAGGCAGAATGAATCCCCAAAGACGTCAACAACGGATTCGAGAAATTATAGGAACCACAAATATTAATCCGAGTGACATTTATAGTGTCGGCTCTGGTATTTGGATTGTGTGTTCGATGACGAATGATGATGTAGAATATTCTGTTCGGAAGAAAGATTTAGTAAATAATAGTGAAGACAATTTAAACATATCTACATATGTTTGCAATTGTCGTGATTTCAAAACACGACAATTGCCATGCAAACATATTTTTGCTGTACTTAACAAGCTTCGCATCAGCTCTGATAATATAGTGGAAAGCGGTCATGAATCTATTGTGCAACAGTTAGCGAATCCAATTGCTGAAGGGCCTCCTAATTCTTCTGCTTCTTTTGGCCCCTTAGGTGATAAAAGCTTTGAGTTTTCAAAGCTACAAGAAGAGCTTGCATTAATTGCTACAGAATGGGAGGGAAAGGACAGTCAAGATATTCGCAGTTTACGAGTAACACTCAGACAAGCTATTCAAATGGAAAAAACAAGACTTGCAAGGGTTAATGTTGCGGTTAGTGACAATATTTTAGATGGATCTAAAATAGCACCAAACGCGGGAATCAGAAAGCAAAAGCGATTTTAAATTTAGTTTGTACAATTAATAGCAAAGATATAATAGGTATTACTAAATTATTTAAATAAAATTAGAGTTTTTTTTTGTCCATGTTGTAAGATAAGCCTTCGAGTTTTCATACCCTATTCCTTAATTCAATTTATTAATTAGCATTTATATTCTTTAAACAAATAATTTTCTCGCAATATAATTATTGTAAGTGGGAATGGAATATAAATAGGTTCGGAATCTATTTAGATTAGAACAGAATAACTAAACTAAATTTTAATCCTAACCATAACCTTAGAATCAGCTTAAATTCTATTCACAACTTACAATCATTACTAGAATTGCCGTGCTGCAACTATAATCACCTAATTGGTAAATACCTAAAAAGAATTTATCGTTGTTTGCAAAATGATGTATCTTTGATCAAATTTGCGGCTCGCAATTTACATATACGATCACTTGATTGTATTCGATTGCGCAATATTAAAGTGATTTTCTTAGTCAAAATTCGAATACAAATAAAATATTTTTATAACCTATGACTTTCTATATCCATATTCTTATAATAATGCTCATATTCTCAGAAATAATCGGGCAACAATCAAGTGATTGCACATGTGACACAAGCTGCAAATTTGATCAAAGATACATCATTTTGCAAATAGCTATAATACAACGCACGTTTTAATTGGAAATGCAACTATATGCAAAAAAAAAAAAAAAACAGCAGTTAATATTATTGGTACCAGAATGCCAATCATAGATAAATTCTATTCATGAGGATAAAATTCGTTAATCGAATAAAATTTTTAAATGAAATTAAACATACTTAGACTAGTCCAATTTAATTAATCTAAAATTAAAATTTAATTAATAAATGCCCAACTTAAACAAAAAAAGAAATAAATCGGTTAATAAAACTATTATCAGATGCATTGTAGAAGTTACTAATCTAACCTTATTTGTTCCAAATTTTTATTTTTGGATACCATTCTTAACGACGTATCCTTTCCTAACGATGCATCCTTTCCTAACGACGCATCCCTTTATAACAAAGCATACAAATTACGCGATAAGAACAGAAAGCACCTTCACGCCTACTAATAATATATTAAAAATCTTCTAAGATGATTAAAAAAAAAAATAGTTAAATACCTTGTCCATTTTCCTCTAGAATTCAACCCAGAAATCACTCTGTCTCTTCATTATTATATAATTCTATTTCATTTTCCAAAAGCCCAATTTAACAAAACTAAAAAACTTCATTAGTACTAAATTCTTATGGCAAGTCTTTATGAGAAAGTCACAGCCGAATTATTGGGTCACAATAGAAATAACACTATTAGTGATCCTATCTGCGCTCCTTATGATCCATTACAAAATTACCAAGAACAGGTTGTGGTTACTTATCAGTCCTTCCTTCAATCTAAAAGAACAGGAAATCAAAGAGCGCAATTATGGTACACCTATTATTTGGGCGAAGTATTGGAAAACATGCCACCGGAGCAAAGAACGGCTTGTATTAAGCAACTTACCAGATACTATACCACTGCAACCGTTCAAATTTATTATATTTTTCGTAAGTGGGAAACTGATTTAATCAACAAAACTACGAATTTGACAGTGCCGATGATCTATGAATTGAAAAAAAAGATTATCAAAGTATTTTGAATTATTTGTACTAGTGTTATGAAAATGTTTCTCAACTATATAGCTAACATAAACTATATTACGCTGTTGCATTAGCTTAATAAGTAATATTTCGTCTATATTGTTTTAATAAAGATCATACAGTGTATTAATATTCATATTTTTTTAAGCAAATAAATTAATAAAATATAAAATATTACTGCCCTTTCCAAGATAAATTACCACTAGAATCGTCTGTAATTAGTAAGATTGAAATTGTGATATTTAATATGTACGAGAAATTATTGGTCAAATTAAGAAATGTAATCGCTAAATATTTAATTCGATATAATAATATATGGGTTTGGTTGGTTCTGGGAAAAGGGACAAAATTGATGCAAAATAGTACTTACAAAAATTAATTATCTCGCGAACTATCGATCAGAATTACGCAATTTTAGTACCATTCGATTCGTCTCAACGAGATGAATCGAACAGTACCAAAATCTCGTAATTCTGATCGATAGTTCGCGAGATAATTAATTTTTGTAAGTACTATTTTGCATCAATTTTGTCCCTTTTCCCAGAGCCAAGCCCATATATTATTTACATTTACTGCTTCGAATGCCTATTGTTAAACATGCTGACTAGATCTTCTTATCTAAACTTTTTGACTGTTGACGAATATAGTTCCTAATCTCAGATCTCTTTACAAATGCAATGGATATACCCAAGTACTTATATATTTAACTTTGTACCAGAATAAATTGTTGGCTTTTATTAAAAAAATAATAAAAAATAAATAACTTACTATACTCATTACTACCGGGTTTCTAATTAATTTTAAAAAAATAAGTCTATAAGTATCGCGTTATCAGTTATTGCAAAAAGCGTGTATGGCACATCATAGCCAGTATTACAGATCACGTTATTGGAGATCGTCGGTTGCATCCAATCAGAGAAGCGATTTAGCGATGGCCAATAGAAACTTGGGGGTGAAATTAGTAAATGCGGTCTTATCGTGGGTTTGCACCAGAGTCTTATGCAACACCGGTTATTAACATTCCTCTATGTGGGTGTAACGTTACACTTTGCATAGATGCCCCGAGCTCCCATTCGAGATGGTGCAACAAAGGTTACAGATACACAAATCCAACCGATCGACAGAGA